GATTTTACAACTTACATCATCTGTCTTCGAGGCTTTTCTCAGGTTCACCTCATTCTTAGGTATGATAAGTTTCCCTCAGCTTAAAAGGGAAAGGACAGAGTGGGGCTGAAGGGAAGGAAGGATCCAGGTTTTCTCAGAGCTTCCTTCCTTCCTTCCTTCCTTCCTTCCTTCCTTCCTTCCTTCCTTCCTTCCTTCCTTCCTTCCTTCTTTCTTTCTTTCTTCCTTCCTTTCTTTCTTTCTTTTCTTTTCTTTTTTTTTTTTTGGTAAGTGGCAGTTTTATTTATTTATTTCACATTTTATTTTAAATCCAGTGTAGTTAACATGCAGTGTTATATTCGTTTTGGTTGTACAATATAGTGATTCAACACTTCCATACATCACCCCGTGTTCATCACGACAAGTGCACCCCTTAATCTCCATCCCCTCTCTCCCCCATCCCGTCACCCACCTCTGAGTTTCCTTAAACAGAAGAAGCAGATGCTTGCTGTTCTGATGAACTTTTAGAACAGTTGCACTGTTTGGGCTCAGTAAATATAAAGGCAACAGAGACCTTGTGGGATTCTTGTGAAGATTCAGGGAAATAACACAGGTAAAGTGCTCAGTACAAGACTGGCTACCTAGTAAATGCTCAGTAAGTTTCAGCCAGCATCTTCTGCACAATCACTGGTTAGCAGCAGGAGGATCAAAAAGGCAATCACAGGCTCATCCCCCAAATGCTAGAATTTTCACTGATTCTTTATGTCATCAATTTATTTTCTCTTTAAAGTTCAAACCACTTTAACAATGGAATTCTGTGCCTTAAAATCAGGCTAAGAGCAGATTTTAACAACTACAATTCCCAAAGTTTGGATCCTTTTCCAGAAGTATTTATAAAATGGATAAGCAAAGGAGATAGATAAAATCAGAACAAAATGTCTGTTATTATCCTATGTAGTAAGACCCAGAGCTAGGTTTACTCAGGACTTCGGTAGTCAGAAATCTGGATAAAGGCCACCTCCCTTCCCCACGCCCCTCAAAAGAAGGAACACCACGTGTGTCAGAATAGTACTGCATCCTGGTCTTATTTCCTGTGCTTCGAGCACCATATCTGATCCCTCTGGTGTTATTATTTCCTGAGGTTACTCATTCAGTATCTGTGTCTCACCTTGCAATAGATCCATACAAGGGACCAGAGCAAGGTTTAGCAAAGGCGAAGTCCCTGTGAACTGCCTGCCATAGGGAAAGAACTACTTGTCAAGTTTAAAGTCAGCGCAGGGTTTGGCAGAGGGAGCTGATGTCTAGCTCAGTTGTGGAAGTCACACCAGGATGGTGTCAATCCCAGGATATGAGAGCTAGATTGAATCCACGTTTCTCTGCGGTCTCAGAAGCCACCTAGAAAGTGGAAATGGGAAGCAAACTCAGCATGTCCCCCTTGCCCGTTAGCAAACTTTCTGAGTGCTTTTCATCTATCCTTGACTGTGGCCATCTCCTTTTATAATCGGCCTGGAACATTTATAAAGAGGAAGTCACCGAATTGTATAAAAGCCTTTATAAGCATCTTTACGATGGCCTATCTCCTTCCAACCCCACCCCCCAGCTCACCCCCTGGGATGTGGACTACACGCTTGCTACCCTATAAACATCAAACATTTTCCACTTGTGACTTTATTTATTTTTTTTTTAAGATTTTATTTATTTGACAGAGAGAGACACAGCAAGAGAGGGAACACAAGCGGGGGGAGTGGGAGAAAGAGAAGAAGGCTTCCTGCCGAGGAGGGAGCCCGATGCAGGGCTCAATCCCATGACCCTGGGACCATGACCTGAGCCGAAGGCAGACGCCCAACAACTGAGCCACCCAGGCGCCCCTCCACTTGTGACTTTATGCCAAATCATAACCATGATTCGGAACACTAAAGTACTCTGTTTCATTCTAAAAGTCGCCTAGCTTCCTTTAACCCACATTCAGTGACAGTTTCTTTTCTGTTTTACAGAGTGGAGGAAGAGAAGAGAACTATCCCATACATATAACAGGGTTCCTGAGAAAGCGCATAGCGAGTGTCATGTTTGAGACTCAGTTGCTTTGACTCTCGGACAGTGGGTCCACAGGCAAAGCACTGCACAGCTGCTCCCTAGAAGCCACAAGGAGCTCTGCCTTTTCACACGTAACTCCAGGAACAAGGAGAAACAAAACCAATTCTCCCCAGAGGTACAGACAAAGAAGAGCACCCTCCCAGAGGAGCCTGATGATAAGTGGCCGCTGAGAGCATCACTGTGATCAGTCAGAACGGCAGGCGAGTTATTAGCTTAGCCCTGAACCTCCTACTTAATGTAGGACCAGTGGTGATGGTTAACAGACCCTAGCTGCGGTGACAAGCCTGGGACCTGCTCGAGGAAATCCAATTGAAAAGCAGCCAAGAGGAACAACAAGCTAGAAACAGATGTTCCAGCTACCAGGATGTGCACACATTTAACCTGAATATGTAGTTGGGGTGGGATAGGAGCATTCGTTTCTAAATATAGTGATTTCACCTCTTTCCCCATATAGATAGTGTCAAGTTCAATTTTAGCCATCCACATTCGTTTTGTCAAATTTTCAGCAATTTCTTTAAAACAAAAAGATGTCAAAATCATAACAGCTATTAAGGAAATTCAGGGTATGTGATTTATCTGCCAAGTTTTACTAAAACATTTCAGCTAAATCATACGCTCTTAAATTCCAGTCTCATAGTAATTGAAAATTACCTTAAAAAAAAAAAATAAGCTGCCCCAATGAAAGGCAAACAGTTCATGTAATTATTGGATGTAATGTTACCACTTGGGTAAACTAGCATTAAGAGAGTTATATTTTCAGCAGTTCCCTTTAGCCACTTCTGGTTACTAAGTAGGGGAGTTTATGTTGATAGAGGTGTGATCACCGCGCAGACAGAGACTAGAGCCCAAGCTTGACAAAATCGGTTAATTAGATTTGAACGAGAGTTGAGTCCTCTGAACCATGACAATATGTCATGTACATTAGGAAACACTCTCCTTTATGTCAACACAATCCTGGTTTTCTCTAATGGGCTTTATAAGAGGAGAGAGACCATCTCTCTATGTTGATTTTTCTGAAGAAAAAAAATCAATACTCGCAATAGATTTTAAGTAGATCTAACGTAGTTCAAGAATATGCTCATAAGAAGATAAATATATGCAACAGATCTTAAAATATGAATTAATGCATGCCACACTAAGACCAGATCTTACCCCAAATTCACGTTGTCGTGATGTGTATCTAAAGCAAAGAATAGCTACAGACTATTTTCTCCAGCAACACTTCATTTTTTATTGGTAGTTTTTAATCTGGTACATTTTTGGGGTCACCGAATTTGCTTTAGAATGCCCGATTATATCATCCTGTAGAGGAGAAAAGAGTGTGAGCCGTAGTTCGGTGCTGAAATTTACTGATGGTATTTATGAAGAGGGCGAGCCTGAGGAATGCAAGCTTTTAAACTCCAAGAAGAGCAGCAAAAAGAAATTAATCAGGAATTCATCACTAATTTATACATGAATCACAAGGAAGGTAAAACGGTTCAGTAAATTATGGATTTACAAATAAACTTGATTCTAGAACCTTGGAAAACACTTTGATTGGAATATAGATCCATTTTTCCTAAAAACAATTTTCACTTAAACTTCAGAGAAAAGGGACATTAAAAACCAACCGCCCTCTATGAAAATTCAAGGGGAACTCTTTTCTGATAACAGAAGGAATCAGGGGCAATGGTTCACAGGACTCATCTGCTCTCCACAAACTCAGGGGTGGGACCCGTCTATCGTGTTTCCAACTCATTCTCATGAATTCTAAATTGTCAACACCTAAGGTTAATGATACCTGTCTTTTTGCTGTCATAAACAGTTAGGGCGGTTTAGCAAGAGATAAATCATCCTCAACAGAGGGTTGTGCTATTGTTCTCTTTGAACAAAGGAAAAAGCTTATTTCTATATAAATCTTAAACACTGTTATAAGAGAATAGACTTATTTTTTTCTTTTATACTCTGATGAAATTCTTAGTCTACAACACATTTCTTTCTTGATCCGGAACATCTGTTTTTTTTAAAAAAGTTTGTAGAGTAATAATGAAGAGTTTCTATGCATGATAGATCACTCTAATCTCAAAATATGCACTGATTTTTTGGGACAGCACAATGGGAAAGTCAACCATCTTTTGGATTATTAGATAACCAGTGCCCTGATCTGAAACATCCTCCATTCAAATGAGGATGATACTTTTAGCTATTAAATAAATACACAGCGACACAAACAATGAATCATGGAACACTACATCAAAAACTAATGATGCATGGTGATTAGCATAACCTAATAAAATAAAAAAATAAATAAATACACAGCAATGAAGTGGGGTTGGGAAGGGAATAAGAACATTACCAAGAATAACCAACGAGTTCACCTAGCAATAAATACATATGAACAAAAATTTCTTTTAATGAAAAATATTAAAGAAACTACAAACTACTTTTTTCACCGATCCAAATCTTAAAGAATTTATTTCTTTCTGGAAAATATGCCTTCTACGATTGAACAGGCACACTACCAATTTTACAATGCAGAGTCATTAATGCTATAATGTAAGGTCGGATCTATTTTGCATTATATACCTTTATACACATGAAGTATATATTAACTATAATATCAGGAATAATAAACCTATCAGGTACTCTATTAGATTCATTTAAATGAAATAAGGCCAAGAGCTTAGCAACAAAATAACACAGTGTGCTTAGAGATAACTTTACAATTTTCACAGAGAATGTCCTTGAGTTGGCAACATTTCTGACACAGCGGAAGACTGCAGCAATGGTCAGTCAGTCATGCTACAAATATGTTGTAATGAAAAATATATCACACCCTCAGAAATTTGCCAAAAATAGCAAATGAAAAAGTACCTATCATCCGATGAATGGTTTTTCCCCTACCAGCCCTCCGCTCTGCTCTCTCTGCCACACACACACACACACACACACACACACACACACACACACACACACACTTTGGCGATTCTCTTTATTATCAGTATGGCACACGTGCTTAAGCAGCTCCACGAACCGGTAGCGTGGCTCTCCCTCTGGGTCTAGCCCTCTGCGCACACACTGGTGTGCAGACTTAGCCACACACACAGCACGAATTCTTCCATTTCACATCTTGGGCTGAAATCGTTTCATCCTTGCCAGACATGGTGACAGAAAGGTTATTTGCTGCCTCCTCTAGGCCAGCAAACAAAACCCATCTCTCTGGGTGGCTGCCTGAGCCTGGATTGCTGGGTCCACCCGTTTTTGTGTTTCGGGACAATATAAATCAGAGGGTGTTAGAGACAGCCCTACCAACTCATTTTTGCAGACAGCCAAGCAAAGTTCCAGCACGGTGACCTGTGCCCAGCGCCACCGAGCTGGCCAGGGGCAAGGCTGGACTGGAATCCGGGGCTCTGTAGGCTTCCTGCTCCACCCACTCTTCTTTCTGTTACCTCTGGCCTCGAGGAGCTGGCCTGGGTGACAAGTGGCAGTCGTGCTGTTTTAACAGACTTCCTTCCCACCCAGGGAATACTTTGTGTGGCAGCTTTAGAGTGGAAGTTGGCAAGTCCAGGGTGCAAACCTGTCTCAAGCAGCTAGAGTCTCAGTTTCTGGTTGTGTTATATAAAAAGCCAACCAGGGCGCCTGGGTGGCTCAGTCGGTTAAGCGACTGCCTTCGGCTCAGGTCATGATCCTGGGGCCCTGAGATCGAGTCCCACATCGGGCTCCCTGCTTGGCGGGGGCTCTGCTTCTCTTTCTGACCCTCTTCCCTCTCGTGCTCTCTGTCTCTCACTCTCTCTCTCTCAAATAAATAAATAAAATCTTTAAAAAAAAAAAAAAGCCAACCAGTAACTATTGCATGGTATTCTGCATGTGGCAACTCGTGCTGCGCACAAAGATGTACGGAGCCCCCAGCAGTGCTCGGTGCTGGAGTAAGGACACGGGGACCAACCAGCTAGCCTCAATCACTAGCTTAGGCAGAGAAGTAAACTGACCACAAGCAATCTGCCGGAGACTGACTGCTAGGGAAGTGGGGGCACCTAACCCAGGCTGAAGGGGGTCCAGTGAGGCCTCCTGGAGGGAGTGCTGAACTAACAGAGCTGAAGGGTGCGGGGGACTCAGCCACAGAATATTACTATAAATGGTAGGAATATGCTTTCATGTTTATCTCCTCATTTTCTTCTAATAATAATGCTCCTGAGAGGTAGGCAGGACAGGCATTGATCTCACTTAAGAAAACAAAACAAAACCCAGGCTAAACAGAGGAATGGGCTTAATGCTGGCCAGTCGTAGAGCTTGGTGGAAAGCGGGTTGCCTCATGAGCTCGCAGGAGAGTGTTCTTTCTACAAGTCAACATTCTCTTAAAGCACCTGGAGAGCTGGAGCCACTTCTCACTCAAAACAACAGGATGGGGCACCTGGGTGGCTCGGTCGGATGAGCGTCCAACTCTTGGTTTCGGTTCAGGTCATGATCTCGCAGTCATGGGATGGAGCCTCATGTCGGGCTCTGCGCTTGGTATGGAGTCTGCTTGAGGTTCTCTCTCTCCCTCTCCCTCTGCTCCTCCCTCCACTCACGCATGTGCGTGCTCTCTTAAATAAAAATAAATAAATAAATAAATAAATAAATAAATAAATAAATAAATAAATAAATTCTTAAAAAAAACAAACAAACCCATGGACGAGGGTCCACCTCTGCACGCTGGAGCCCACTTTCCTGTCATCTTAGTCTACTTGGGCTGATGGCATCCTAGTTGGCACAAAGGAGCTAATTTGCAGCCAAATAGTCCTGCCAGGCCACAGAGAAGGTGACCCTGTACCTGAAGAACCCCAGGCCAGATCTAGGATCTCAGCGCCTGCAAGACCCCCTCTCCCCCCAGAGGGCAGCCTGCAAACCAGAGCCTCCCACCAGCTCAGACCCCTGCATGGAGCCCCTTCTGGAGGCTCTGCCTGCCTGCTCACCCCTTCCCTTTTTCCCCTGGGCCTTCCCCACCCTGAATGCTTGTGCAAGCAAACCCACTTTGCTTCCCCATTCCCTCCGTAAACACACACACACACACACACACACTCCCAACCTTCACCCAGCTTCCCATCTCTTATGGTGCTTCTGAGCCACTCCACGGTCATCCTCCAGGTCAGGAGTTACCCCAGCATTTCCAGAAACTCGAAGACACTGCCAATGCTGAGAGGCTATGAATGTTGTTCACTTCAGGCTTAGGGGAATACTTTTGTATTTTTTTTTTAACTTTTGTATTTTTTTTTTAACTTTTGTATTTTTTTATTTGGGGTTTTTCAACCAGTAAGCCTGGTGCTTTTGATTTCCATGTGTGTCATAGTAAAATACTCATTATCCACAAGCCTTTCTACATTATGGGATGTTTATCCCTCTGCTTTGTTTACAGTTTTCTGCATGTCCCAAAATTTCTATGATGAGATGTTGCTTTCAAAATCACGGGGGAAAAATGCCCAAGTGTTCCCACATAGGAATATAGACTTATTAAGACTTTTCTCTGAGTGGTGGAACTATGGGTGACTGGTTTTCCTTTATTCCATCAGAGGTCACATGTATTGCTTTTGGACTTGTACAGTGAGGTCAGTCCTAGACAATTTTTGAGTGTTGGGGAGCAGCTCCAAAATAGTAAGCAGAACGAATGCTTATTGGGTGAAAGCATTTTTGGAAAGCCCATTAAAAAGCCAAGATAGGGGCGCCTGGGTGGCTCAGTTGGTTAAGCGACTGCCTTCGGCTCAGGTCATGACCCTGGAGTCCCAGGATCGAGTCCCGCATCGGGCTCCCTGCTCGGCAGGGAGTCTGCTTCTCCCTCTGACCCTCCCCCCTCTCATGTGCTTTCTCTCATTCTCTCTCAAATAAATAAATAAAATCTTTAAAAAAATAAAATAAAAAATAAAAAAAAAAAGCCAAGATAGGAAAAAAAAAAAAAACAACAAAAAAAACCCAGATGGAAATGGTGCCTACGTTTCCTGCCGGTCTCCACCTTTATCTGAGGTTGGGGACCCATGGACTCCAGCCATCATGGACCGTGTCTTTCAAGTCCCACACTATTGTCTGCATTATTTATACAGATGCAAAACTTACTATTCCTGAAATGGTAGAAGAAATATGGAAAACAAACGCTGTGTTATGTCAAAATGTATCTGTCTATACTCCCACTGGTTTATATCATGGTGTGTAGACCACTAAGCATTTTCCATAGTTGAGACAGCCAGAAAGAGAGAGAGAGAAATTATGGTCGAATTACGGCATCACACCATTAACGTGCAAAGATAGTTGCTGCTAGTGTATGATTACTACTTTTCGTATGATTTTCACTTTTCATTTTCTTGTAGAATGCTGTGAATTTACTGCTGAGCCTGGGTACTGCTACTCTCCTAAAGAGAAAATTACTTCTTTTAGAGGATCTGCTTGCACAAGCGTAAAATCTTTGCCGCTCTCAGAGCAGCAAGAGAACCACATCAGACTTCGATATGCTGAGCTGGCTGTTTTGAGTTACCTGTTCCAGAGAATGTGGGGCAGGGGTTATTCCAGCATGTCGCTTTCTTCATATTTTTGTCCACTCACATCCTCAAATGTGTTCCAGAGAATTTTGGGCAGGGGTTATTCCAGCATGTCGCTTTCTTCATATTTTTGTCCACTCACATCCTCAAATGTCTTAGGGAGTACCTCCTCGAGGCAGTTGACCTTATTAGATGCTGTGCGGGACACACGGATGGCTAGCACAGGGTCCTTGCGACAGAGAGGCTTGTCAGCTCATTGGGGATATGGCAGAGAAAAGCCCCAACTGATTAGCTGGGAGAAGGACATTCCAGCCAAGGGATGGACGAGGGCAAAGACCCTGACAGAGAAATGAGCATGAAGGCCAAAAGTGCTAGAAAGAGGAGAGGAGAGATGAGGATGGAGATGTGGGAGCAGGTGAGGTCTTATAAGATCGAGGGCCTTGAATTTTATCCTGAGTATGATGAGAAGCCATTTGAGCAAAGGAATGCTGACATCTAATGACTTCTTCTTCTTTTTTTTTAATGATCCCTCTCTTTCTGAGGAGGCTAGGTCACAGAGGGCTAAGAGCAGAAGCAAGGAGACCAGTTAGGTCTGCAGAAGAGGAGTGGTAACCTGGACAAGGGCGGTAGCAGGAAGGACATGGAGACTCATGGAGACAGAAGTCACAGAGCCCGGAGAACCAGGCTCTTAACCCTACAATGGAGCCCTGGATTATTATGAGGGATTCAGAAAGGGCCCCGTAAATATGTATTGAATGAATGTATGGCTGCATGAAGAGAATCACTCCTTAGACTAACTCCTAACTTGGAGATCAGGAAACTCATTCCAGGCTCAAGGGTCTCTGAGAGGCCATATTGATTTTCAACTTACCTAGTTCAGTTCCACCTGACACTTTTCTTCCACCTCGAGATTTTCAGGGGTCCCACCAGATGTGCTCCGTGGTTCCAAAATAGAATGACTTCTGGCCAAAGGAGAGCACTAAGGAGGCAAATTAATATCACAGTCAAAACCCCCTATTCACTAGCATCCTTTAGAAGTAGCAACAATTGGGGCTCTGAGGTGCTTCTGAAAAAAATCCTACGATGCATTTAAAGATCATCACGGTAGTTGTTTGTCTTAAAAATATTTGTTGAAATATAAAAACTGTATGTCTGCATCCATGGTTCTCAACCCTGGCTGCATAAAGTGCCTGGGGAGCTTTTAAAATATACTCGCACCCAGGCCCCGCCCCAGACAGATCGCATCAAAAGCTCCACCATGAGGCCCTGGCAGACAGTTTTTAAAAGCTCCCAGGTGATTCTCATGTGCGTCAGGAGCACTGCCGTACGTGAAGTGAGTCACTTTCCTATCTGCCCTTCACCACAGGACATGGGCAAGCCTATAGACAGGCTACAGCCAATGACGCAATGTTCAGCCGCCTTCATGGAGTTGAGACACATACGCTCCTTCTTGAGCACTTGCAGAAATTGCTCACAAAGCTTAGAATACAAATGTATTAATCAACTTTAGGCTTAGGAGTGGGCAGCCTTGACAGGCAGCGCAACCCTCTATGATTCTGCCTCTGCTGTCCCCTCCTTCCTTCCTTTCTTCCCTCCTCCCTTCTTTCCTTCCTTCCTTCCTCCCTTCCTCCTTTCCTGCCTACCTTTCTTCCTACCTTCCTACCTTTTTCTCTCTCCTCTTCCCTCCCTTCCTTTCTTTCCTTCCTTCTTTCTTTTTCTTCCTGCTCTTTCTCTTCTCCTTGTCCTGGTTGTCTTCCCACTCTCTTCCATCACACTTCCCAGACATCTGCCCATGACACTGTCTGCAGGCTAGCTACCCTGGGGGCTTTAGGCTGCAGAGATCAGATCTTAGGAGGAAGTCTGGATAAAAGGTAAAGCTTCTTGAAAGGCCATAGCATATATAAAATTCTTGCTTTGCTGCCAAATATGGGCTTCACTGCTTTGAAAACATCTCTGGCAGTTCTTTAAAAACATGGAGTTATCATATGGCTCAGCAATTCTATTCATATATTTACAGGGGTAGAATATTATATATATATACATATATATGCAATATATTTGAGAAATAAAAATATATCCACGCAGAAACGTGTATACCAACATACATAGTAACAATATTCATAAGAGCCAAAAAAGTGGAAACAATTCAAATGTCCATCAGCAGATGAATGGATAAACAAAATAAACCAAATGTGGTCTAACCATGCAGTGGAGTATCATGCATCCCTAAAAAAAATGAAGTACTGATACATGCTACAATTTGGATGAATCTTAAAGACATACACTGAGCAAAAAAGTCAGGAACAAAACTCCACATATTGTATGATTCCACTTACATGAAATGTCCAGAAGAGGCAAATCCATAGAGACAAAAAAGAAGACTAGTGATTGCTAGGGCCTGGGAGGAATGGGAAGTGAATGCTCATGGGGACGGTTCTTCTGGGGTGATGAAAATGCTCTAAAATGATTTGTGGTGATGGTTGCACAGCTCTGCAAATGTACTTTAAAAAAGAATGACTTGGGGCGCCTGGGTGCCTTAGTCGGTTAAGCATCTGCCTTCGGCTCAGGTCATGATCCCAGAGTCCTGGGACCGAGCCCCGCATCAGGTTCCCTACTAGACAGGAGGCCTGCTTCTCCCTCTCCTACTCCCCCTGCTTGTGTTCCCTCACTCGCTGTGTCTCCCTCTGTCAAATAAATAAATAAAATCTTTAATAATAAAAAAGAATGACTTGTGTAATTTAAATGGGTAAATTATATGCCATGTGAATTGTATCACAATAAAGCTGTTAGAAATAAAAATAAAATGTGTACTTCAACAACAGAAAACTATGAATGCTGAAATGACCGTATTATATATATATACATATATATATTTTTTAAAGATTATATTTATTTATTTGACAGAGAGAGACGCAGTGAGAGCAAGAACACAAGCAGGGGGAGTGGGAGAGGGAGAAGCAGGCTTCCCACCGAGCAGGAAGCCCGATGTGGGGCTCGATCCCAGGACCCTGGGATCATGACCTGAGCCGAAGGCAGACACTTAATGACTGAGCCACCCAGGTGCCCTATGAAATAACCATATTTTTAAAAAATCATTCTGACCTTAAGAGAGTGTGTTAATCAGAATATTAGAGCAGTCAGCATATAACACAGAGAGATATGACTCACCACTTCCAAAAATGTTTTCCATAATTATGGAAACTTCAGTGACCTTTGCACGTGCTGTTTGGGCATCTTATAAACTCTTCCCCATCCTCCCCTCCTCCCATTTAATTTAATGGCATCTCTTCCTTCTCAATCATGAATAGCTTTCTCTATTTGTCTCACTAATTTTTACAACCCCACTTCCAGGTACTCGTGGAAGTTACAGCCCCTCTCATGGAAGAGATTAGGATTTCATGTTTTAAAGACACTGCACTGAAGTATGGGATCAACTGTCAGCCAAAATGACATCCCCATCCAATATGTACCCAACATCATACCCTCAGCCCTACACAAAGACCACAAGGGATTTTGTGTGTTCCCCACTCAGTCCCGGAATAGACTCCACAGCTTTGCAGGACTTCTTCCTCTAAATGACCCCCCAGGTCAGCTCCCCAGGGTCAAGCTTCCTCAAATTATTCCAAAAGGCTTCACGATCAACATCAGTCACTCTGCGTTCAAGTACTCCTGGAATCGAGAGTTTGTAGACTAGCCCTCAGCTTCCTCTCCGATTTCTTTCCTGCCATAGCCCCTACCACCCTCTCCCTAAGAGGCTGTGAGGAACCAGCTCCTCTTCCAAGCACCTCATGTGGATTATGTCCCTGGAGCTTCAACCATAGACCTGAGGCAGCTCGTATTATTACCGTCTCTATTTCACAAAGTGAAAATGGAGGCACCTAGAGATGAGGTCATTTCCCAAAGTTGCACATCTAGGAATGGTGGAGTAGAGACGCAGAGCACACATTTTCACCCCATGCCTCCCGTCAGGATCTCCTGGGTGGTGAGAGCCCAGCATGCGCCAGCACTGTTCCGAGTTCTTTACCCGCATTGACAACACTCACCCCAGATGTTCCAGTCGGAAATAGCAAAGCTTACGTGAAGGAGGCAGCCTAACAAAGCCAACCCTATTGTGCTCGGTCATGGGGATGTGGAAATACTCACTTATTTGTGGAATATTTAATAGACACTGTATCTATTGCTCTAGGAACGGGGCATACGTATGATACATACAGTGAAACAAATAAGAACCCTTGCCCTCATAGACTTTATCTCCTCGTGAGGTGAGGCAGACAATAAAACTAGTAAGTAAGTAAATAAGTGATGTGCGGTATTAGAAGGCTTATTTTATTATTTTATTTTATTTTAAAGATTTTTATTTATTTAACAGAGATAGAGAGAGAGCACAAGTAGGCAGAGCGGCAGACAGAGGGAGAGGGAGAAGCAGGCTTCCCGCGGAGCAGGGAGCCTGATGCGGGGCTCGATCCCAGGACCCTGGGATCACGACCTGAGCCGAACGCAGACGCTTAACCCACTGAGCCACCCAGGCGCCCCTCTAATGATTTTCTTTTTTTTTTTTTTTTAAAGATTTTATTTATTTATTCATGAGAGATAGAGAGAGAGAGAGGCAGAGGCAGAGGGAGAAGCAGGCTCCCCGCGGAGCAGGGAGCCCGATGCGGGGCTCGATCCCGGGACTCCAGGATCATGACCTGAGCCGAAGGCGGCTGCTTAACCAACTGAGCCACTCAGGCGCCCCAGAAGGCTTATTTTAAAGGCTATTTTATTTTACTTATTTTAGAAGGCTATCTTAAAGCGGGGGGAGGGGGTCGTGCCAGGGCATGTAGGGGGCGGGGCTGCAGTTTTTGAAAACACAGCCAGAGTGGGTCTCATGGAGAAGAAGACATTTGACAGACTCGAAGGAGGACACCGGGAGCACATCCAGGGAAGAGCGGTCCAGGCAGAGAGAACAGCCAGTGTGAAGGCTGATGTGGGGCTGCAGTGACTGGAGAGATGGGGTGAGTAGTGGGGGATACAGTGTGGGATTCCGGGGCACAAATGAGGTAAACGGCGGCTCTGGGAAGCTGCTGGTGGGTTTTAGACCGGGGACTGGCCGTCTACAGGGATCCCAGGATGGAGCATAAACCGAAGTCAACAGGTCATCTGGGAACCTCACTTCCACCAGTAATGCCAGCCCTGAGAAGGGATGGAACTTGCTGGGGAAGGCAAAGCTGCCTCCATCCCCTACATCTTTACTTTCTATCCCCGATCACCCCCTGGTGGAGCAGAAAAGGAATTTGCCTGATGCACAGACTGGGAAAGCCATGTGAGGACACCAGGCGGCTAATCCTGCAGCTTCTCTCCTCTAATCTTTCCTACAGCCTCCGCTGAGCATCTTATTCATTCTTTAATCCTTCACGGTCGTGTGCACATCACCGTGATTCCATAAATGTGGGCTGGTTGAAGGAATGAATAAAGGAATACAGGCATGGGGGCATCTGTTATAGGAGCAGAGAAAGGTATTGGTTAGTAACTGTCAGTAATGGGAAGAATGAGTATTGTTTCTGGACTGACATTTTAAAGTTCAGGATACTTTTGTGGAATGTTCTGTACTTTGCAGATTTCTGACCCAGGTGACTCTGATCAAATCAAGAAAGTTGTAACACCATGGTCGATTTACAATATGTAGAGCAACAGGGTAAATGTCTTTTCAAACTGATATCCCTAGGGAGCAGTGGTTGTTAAAATGAATGTGAATGTGTATAGTCTTATTGCGGAAATTCAGGGAGGAGTACTCTTTATTTAAAAACGATACGTTCACACTAGTACATAAGTTAGCTATTTATTAAACTGACATGGTCAACAATTCTCAGGAGTTGTTGTATGCTTTATCTATATTTAAAGTTATCAAATGCAAACCAGGGGGTAATTAAATATTCAGAAAATTACAGAAATATGTTTCTAATACCACGTATATACCTACCTACATATATACTCATCTTC